GTCCTCCCCTCCCTGCTCCATCTCCTCGGCACCCTCCCTCTCTCGCTTCTTCTCCCCCCTTCCCCACCCCAATTCACCTCCCCCCTCCCTGCCCTGCCATCTGACCCTCCTCCTCATCCTGCTGGTTCTCCACCTCCCTCCCGTATACTTGTACCGATCGCCTATCCCATTCGCCTCTGCATTGCCCTCCTCTCAGGCCTACAGCGCCGACGGGAACCATGTGGCCACGGGAATCTCCCAGAAGCCTTTAGAACACCAAATAAAAACGTAGCAGTTCTCGTCCCTCCTCCGTCCTCCTCCTCCTCCGCCTCCTCCGTCTCTTCCTCCTCATCCTTCTCCTCCTCCTCCTCCTCCTCCTCCTCCTTCTCCTCCTCATCATCACAATCATCATCATCATCATCATCATCATCATCATCATCATCATCATCATCAGCATCATCATCATCAGCATCATCATCAGCAGCACCATCATCATCATCATCATCATCAGCAGCATCATCATCATCATCATCATCATCAGCAGCATCGCCATCATCACCACCATCATCGTCATCGTCATCAGCAGCATCAGCATCATCATCATCATCGTCAGCATCATCGTCACCAGCATAATCAGCAGCATCATCATCATCAGCATCATCAGCATCGTCATCATCATCGTCGTCATCGTCATTGTCATCGTCATCGTCAACGTCATCATCATCTTCATCATCATCATCATCGCCACCAGCAGCATCATCAGCATCAGCATCAGCATCCGTATCAGCACCATCATCATCAGCAGCATCATCATCAGCAGCATCAGCGTCAACTTCATCTTCATCAGAAAACATCATCATCAGCATCAACACCATCAGTATCATAATACTGAACACCACCATCATCACATCATCATAACCATCAGCATCAGCATCGTCAGCATCATCAGCAGCATCATCAGCAGCATCATCGTCAGCAGCATCGTAAGCAGCATCAGAATCATCGTCAGCAGCAGCAGCGTCATCAGCATATGCAGCAGCATCAGTATTAGCATCATCAGCATCATCATCAGTAGCCTCATCATCAGCAGCAGCATCATAGTCGGTATCAGCATCAGCATCATCAGCATCATCAGCAGCATACTCAGCATCATAATCTTCCGTATCATCAACAGAATCAGCATAATCATCATCATCATCACCTGTACAGCATCACCATCATCATCATCATAATCATCATCATCAGCATCAACAGCATCAGCATTATCAGCAGCAGCAGTACCATCAGCATGATCGCCACGATCATCTCATCAGCAACATTATCAGTTCTATCATCATCGCCGACGTCGTCGTCAGCATTGTCAACAGTTGCATCAGCATCATCACCCTCATCATCATCATCATCATCATCATCATCATCATCATCATCAGCATCATCATCATCATCATCGTCATCGTCATCGTCATCATCATCAGCGTCATCATCATCACAAACATCAATATGGTGTTCCTCATCATGATCATCATCATTATCATCCTCATGTTCACATGTAAAATCATCATCATCAGCAGCATGAGCATGAGCATCAGCATCAGCAGCAGCAGCATCAACAGCATCATCACCATTTCCATCACCATCACCATCACCATCACCATCACAACCATCATCATCATCATAATCGTTTCCTCAGCATCAGTATCATCACTATGGTCAGCATAAGCATCATCAGCAGCAGCGTGTTCATCATCATGTTAATCAGCATCATCATAATCTACCTCATCACCAGAATGATCAGCATCATCATCAGCAGCATCATCATCCTTCGATATTCACAATCCATGATCCACCATCCATCATCTGGCAACTAGCATCCAGCAACCATCATCCATCCATCTACAATCCATCCACCAACCACCATCTAACATCCACCATCCACCATCCACCATCCATCACCATCACCACCACCATCACCAGCATCATCATTATCATCATCATCATCACCAGCACCACCACTCCTCATGCTCACCCCTCACGCCGAACTAACTCCTCACTCCTTCCTCCTGCTCCCCGTGGCCTTCGTCCTCCTCCTCCTCCTTCTTCTCCTCCCTCCTCCTCCCCCCTCCCCCTCCTCCTCCTTCTCATCATACCCTGGACCTCTCCTGGAGCGCATGCTGACCAGGATAACGCGTCGGAGCGTGCAGTGCCAGCGAGGGCCTCCACGGTGACCAAGACAGCAAAAAACTTCGAAACACTCATGTTCCTCCTGCTCTGCCCCTCCGCCGCCCCGGAGTCCCCCGAAGCCTCCTGGTGTCCCCGAAGGTCTTCTTCGGATGCCCCCAGAGACCTCTGGACACCTCTAGGGGCTTCCAGAAACCCTCCGACTCGAACCGACCGAGCGCAACGAACTGCCACGCAGCCGAACTGGCGGAACCGCGGACATCCTCGTCGCCTGGCGTTCGAATATTGTGTTGGGGCTAATGGCGGGCGATTGTGGAAATGCGGGCACCCCGGGCACGCTCCTGGCGAGGCACAGCTGCTGGAACCCTCCTTGAGGCAGGAGAGCCTTCAGGACCCCGAGAGCTGAAACGCATCCCTGCAGCTGCCCCCCGCCGCCTCCTTGTCTGGCCGAAAGATCCGTCCCCGGACCTTTCCCAGGGTCCCTCCCAGACCAAACCACGTCGACGAGAAGTCCAAGAAGGACGAAAAAAACTCTGGCGAGCGCCGCCATTACCTCGATTGACCGTTCTCCGACTGGTTTCGGCCGATAAGTCGGGCCTCGCAGCTGGTGGGAACTACCCCAGGTCCCGCAAACGCATGCCCACAAAAATTGCGCGCTCGGCGCGACTGCATCGATTTGAACGGGATGGGCGCACGCAAGTGTGATTCATACGGCGATTGGTGGACATACGAGCCTCTCGTCAAAGACAGCCGTCGGAAGCCGCCTTCTGGGGCAAGTACCGTCAGGGACGGCCGGCTCTTCAGGCTGAACCCGAAAACCTTCCAAAAACTTCCGAAAATGTCTTTGCCTTGGATGGAGGCCTCCTAAAAAATGGGGTCGGAATACGTGGGGTCGGAGGATCGAGCCGCGTCGGCGATGCATCGCCGATGCATTGGCGATGCATTCGCGACGCCGGCGACGTCGGCGTGGAGAAAATCGAGATCCACATCGGGCCGCATCGCCGATTCATCGGCGATGCGTCAAGATCCTTCGACCCCATCTACTCGGACCCCGTCTGGGAGGCCTAGACTGGTCCTCCTTCGATCCCCGCGGAAAATGACCCGAGCCGGGCTCTGGGCCTGGTAGGGGAACATCGCCCTTCGGCCGTGAGTCTCGTCAACTACCACCTCTGTATATTGGACTCGGAAATGTTCCTAACCACGAATGAGAATAATTAGACTTCGTTAGACAGCCGAGCACAGTTCGTTGGACACTTTCGCATCATCATCATCATCATCATCCCCCCTCTCCCCTCCCGCCCCCCTCCTGCTTTTCGAAGTTGGGGGGGGGCCCTCCTCCCTTCTCGCACGCGAGAGACTGCGAAAGGAATATCCGAGGAGGAAGAGGGAGGGAGGGGGGAGGGAGAAGCGCGAACGAGGAGGAGGACGGAGAGGAGGAGGAGGAGAAGGAGGAGGAGGAAGAAAAAGAGCCCGGATGCGTCAACTTATTGCTGCGTTTTTCTCAGAGCTTGACCGTGTGTTCACTCGCGGGGCGGGGGAGGAAGTCAGTCCACAACAGGAGTTGTTCAGACAGCACGAAGCGCGGCCCTGATGACCACGAAAGACGGCGCGGCGACACCACACCCGTCACGGGATGCGGCGCCGCGCCGGCCGCGCGCGAGCGGAGGCGAGCGGCGACGCGGACCGTTGCCCCACCTGGGGGGCCGTCCGCGCACCCCCCCGCCGCCGCGCGCGGCCGACTGCGGCGCGAGGGCGCGAGACACGCCAGCCGACCGACGGCGACGAAGGCACGGAGGCCCGCCGCCGCAAGAGACAATGGCCAGGGGTAGGCCACGGGGGAAAAGAAAAACGGCGCCCACCGCCGCCCGCGCCACGCGCGGGCGATGCGGCACCTGCGCAGCGCCGCTGCGGCAGGCGCGCGCGCCCCCCCTGCGCCGCGCCTGGCCTGCGCGGGCGCAGCGCGGCGCGCGGCGCGACATGCGCGCGCGCGCCTGCGGTGGGCACCCCTGCCGCGCCTTGTGGCTCCGAAACAAACAAGCGGGCGCAGCACCACAAAGCGCGGCCAAAGTGCGCGCGGCACCACAAAGCGCGGACCTGATGACCATGTAGGACGGCGTGGCGACACCACGCCCGTCACGGGGTGCGGCGCCGCGCCGGCCGCGCGCGAGAGGAGGCGAGCGGCGCCGCGGACCGTTGCCCCACCTGGGGGGCACCAGCCAGCGCGCGCACGCGGGGCGACGACCAGCCGGCGCGCGCGCGCGGACACGACCAGCGGAAGAGAAAAGAGGCGCCCACCGCCGCCCCCGCCATGCGCGAGCGATGCGGCAGGCGCGCGCGCGCGCCCCCCCTGCGCCGCGCCTGGTCGGATCACCTGCGCGGGTGCGGCGGGCGCGAGCGGCGCGGCGCGCGGTACCACATGCGCGCGCGCGCCTGCGGTGGGCACCCCTGCCGCGCTTTGTGACTCTGAAACAAACAAGTGTGTGTGCAGCACTTGTGAATTCCGCTCGGCGCATGCATCACCAGGGAGGTTGGAGCGGGTGTTGCTGGCTTCAACGGTTTGGCTACCATGGGCTAAATCCGCACCCCATGATGTCACCGTTGTCGTCGTCTACCCATGCCCTGTGCACTGCCCCGTTTCCTTGGCATGGGCTGCGCCAGTGGACATCACTGCCCTGATTCCGACCAGCCGACCGACCGAAGAGGGAGACGCGAGAGGAGAAGGAGGGAAGGGAGGAGGAGGAGGAGGAGGCGAAGAGGCAAGGAGGACGGAGAGGAGGAGGGAAACAAAAAAGAAGGAGATGGGGAGAGTTCTGGGCTCCGGGGGAGGGGCTGCGGCCCCCAGCCTGCGAGAGGAACATCTCGCCCCTGCCCTCCAGGCCGCCCGACGCCGAACGCGCGACCGCCGACAGCGGAGGCTGCTCCGCGGAGGCCTCTGGCGCGAG